GATATACACTCTAGAATGAATAAAATATGTCATTACATATGTGGTGGTGGGGGAGGACAGTCTTCGTGGGCATTCTCGCTCCAGCTATGAAAACGTCTTCCCATTCTTTCCTCCTTCACTCACATTAGTATAAGAGAAAATGGTGTTTGTGAGGCTAACTGCATTAGATCACTTCTTTCATAAGAAAACCAAAATGTAAAAATGAACTGGTGTACGTACACCATTTACATACCTTGCAGAAGATAGGCAGAGTGGCTTATGCTGTCAGGAGTTTACGTATTTTGTTTCGTCCTTTCTCTATCGCTTAATCGCTTAACTGCTACACTCTTAATGCTACACTTTCTCACTGAACTTAACTGCTTTAAACTCCACATTTTGCACCTCTGCTAGCATGCAGGCACACATTAAAATCTCTAAGAGTGTGTTGTTAGTCTTGAAGATGCCATATTAATAATGATAATAATAACACAATAATCACTCTGAGGCACATTAAATGTCGTATACAATATTAATATAGACATTTTGCTTAATCCATCTATGATATTTTTTCAAAATTATATAATATACATTACGTAACATATAAACATATAAATTAACATAAATATGAGATGTTTCTCCAGTCGGCTTGGAGTGAACAAAAACCATTTGTGTCCAGGCTAGTAACAACAACAACAACAACTGGTTTGTTTACAAAACACGCAAACCTTCTACTCTCTCATGTACTCATTCCCTCCCTCTTATTTATTCATTTAATCCTGTTTACTCACCTCTCACCCTACACTAAGACTATAAATATTTTAGGGTAAGTAATAAGTGTACTGTACAGTGGACCCCCGGTTAACGATTTTAATCCGTGCAAGAGGGGTAATTGTTATGCAAAATAATCGTTATGTGAATGAATTTTCCCCATAAGAAATAATGGAAATAAAATTAATCCGTGCAAGACACCCAAAAGTATGAAAAAAAAATTTTTTTACCACATGAAATGTTAATTTTAATACACACAAACTGAAAAAGGCATGCACACTTACATGACACTTACTTTTATTGAAGATCTGGTGATGATTGATGGGATGGGAGGAGGGGAGAGCATTATCTTCTTACTGTTTAGAAGGGGAATCCCCTTCCATTAGGACTTGAGGTAGCAAGTCCTTTTCGGGGTTACTTCCCTTCTTCTTTTAATGCCACTAGGACCAGCTTGAGAGTCACTGGACCTCTGTCGCACAACAAATCTGTCCATAGAGCTCTGTACCTCCCGTTCCTTTACGATTTGTCTAAAATGGGCCACAACATTGTCATTGAAATAGTCACCAGCACGGCTTGCAACAGCTGTGTCAGGGTGATTTTCATTTCCCTAAAGGTTTGCAGTTCAACCCACTGTGCACACATTTCCTTAATTTTTGAAGTAGGCACAATGGATTCCACAACTGGCATAGGCTTCTCAGGGTTAGCCCCAAACCCTTCAAAATCTTTCTTAATTTCCATACTAATTCTCACCCTTTTTACCACAGGGTTGGCACTAGAAGCTTTCTTGGGGCCCATGGTCACTTATTTTCCAGAAACAGCACCGAAAACACTGTAATAATACGAAATATTCCGATTGTATGCTTGGATGTTACCGCGGAGGCTGGCTGGTAAACAATGCCACCGGCGGAACATGTGAGCGCGTCTCGGAAGAAAATCGGTAAGCGGGTTTTTAAGCGGTATGTGAGGCAAAATTTTTGCAATTAAAGTAAGCGGTATGCGAAATAATCGCTATGTGATGCCATCGTTATGCGGGGGTCCACTGTATATGCATTTTATCACTCTAGGGCACTTTAAATGCCAATATATAATGTGTGGATGGGGTGGCCAGATGGGGGTTACATAATTACCACACTTCGATATCTACCTACCTAACTATTCACCTTGCACCCTATATTAAGTCCATTAAGATTACAAATATTTTAAGGTAAGTAATGAGTGTACACTGGAGCACAGATCCAATTCCCTAGATCAAGAGCCCCTCACCAAGAAACCTCCCATGAGGGGATATTTCAGAACCTCTTCCGCGGGAGAGGCAGGCTAACGTATCTAATACAGTCGACTTATGCGGCACCGGCCGAATTACAGAGCAAAATTACTAAATACGAATCGGCCGAAAAACAAGGTTCCACTGTAATGTAAATCCAATTAATCCGTTCCAGACACCCAAAAAGTATTAACAAACAATACAATTTATACAGAATAAATATAGTTTTACGTACAAAAAAAATGAGAAATAAATATAAATGATTAATTTTAATTTAATTTTAATTTTAAATCACTATTACATATCTTAATTGAAGACTCTTGTTGGCATATGAAAGATGGCAAGGAGGGGAGAGGGAGGAGAGTTTATTGTTTGGAAGGGGAATCCCCTTAAATAAGGACTTCAGGTATCAAGTTCCTATCTGAGGTTACTTCCCTTCTTTGTCTTTTACTGGCACTAGGGCCAGCTTGAGAGTCACTGTACCTGTCGCACAAAAAATCTGTCCAGAAATGTCTGTTTCTGGCGTCTCTTTAAGATTTGCCTAAAATGGGACAAGGCGCTGTCACTGAACACATTGTAGACACTGCTTGCAACAGCTTTGGTAGGGTGATAATTCTCAACGAAACTCTGCCCCTCACTCCACTTTGCACAAATGTCCTTAACCATTGAAAAAGGCACATTCTTCCCTCTCTCTTCCTCCTCCTCTGAAGGAATTTCCTTAGCTGCAATCTGTTGCTGTTGTCTTGCAGCTCTTCAGTGGTTAGCTCTTCCCTGTGGTCATTCACCAACTCTTCCACATCCTGGCCACTCACATCCAACCCCATGGACTTCTCCAATGCCACAGTAGATTCCACAAAAGACATAGGGTTGTCAGGGTCAGCCTCAAACCCTTCAAAATCCTTCTCTTGGACACTTTCTTTGGCCCCATGGTGGCTTATTTAGCAGTCACACTCAATAAACAAGCTCAAAAAATAATGGATTATTACGAAATTTTTCACATGAACAAGCAGAGTAATGTTTACTCCATGAGAAACAAAGCCAGACTGACGCTTTGTGTGGGAGCAGGGAGGCACGGGAAGGCAGATGCGTTCAGGACAGCCGACAAAAACCTAGGTGACAAACGAAAACTAGGACAATGTTTTGACAAAAAAAGTCGTCGAAAACCAAATTCGATGATAACCAGGGCAAACGAAAACCAAGGTTCCACCGTATTAAAAATACAATATTAAAGACATTTAACAATTTATGCTAAATAAACATGCAATTCTATTTTATATGGAATTATAAGTGCCATGTTATGGGTTAGATGTATTACATTTATAAAATCTGTATATTAATTCTACAAAAAAAATTATCTTCAGTTTATATGCAGTTAATAATGGTCATAATGCATCTGTACAGAACATTCTTTTCATGCAATTATGATTGCTTTGGGATTGCACTTTGTAAAAGTGTTAATGTTTCAGTACAATATTGGAAATCACTACAACATGTGAGGCCATGGGAAAAAATACAAGTCAGGCATCCTAATCTTCATTTACTTCAAATGAACTTCAAATGAAAGAAAAATCTTTTTAAAACTACCTTACACTATCCAAATGAAGAGATTTATTTACTGATTGATTTATTCCTTATAAGTTTTATAATCATATCTGCCTATTTACTAAGGCATAGGACAACTAATGTATTCAGTATGAACACTGAATATGCTTCAATTTTGCATTAATGCATGTAACTAGAGTAAACCAGCAATTACAGCTCAAACTGACTGAACAATACTGTCTTAATGTTATTAAAAAGACAAACAAAAAATCATAACAAAAATGAATGCTATTATGCTCCATAAATAAAACAATCAAGTAATGAGCTAAATATGGATAGTTCTTTCTGTATATTTTCTTAATCTGCTCATTAGGCTATGAACAGTTGCCCCAGCAGCCTCCCACTGTTCTTGCTGAGCCAGTCATGGCCACTACATATTATTCTCATCTAAGGCTTTCCAAAATGTATATGACTTATGAATGATTAATGTATATAAAGAGTTACACATGGTAGAAATCTCTTATCTCACAATACTAATGGAAGCCTATGCCATAGTTGCCACCTCTCTCTCTCTCCACATGTCCAGGATAGCCCTCCATATCATTCAATTACAATATTCCTTTATTTTTCTTGGTTATTACTTCCTCAAATGCATTCATATCATATTCAGTACAGTTTAAGCTTGTCTGATATAGGTGCAGTGATTTCCTATATGTTTGGTACAATTTAGTAATAACATGTGGTTTATATAGAACTAGTGTTCCCATATTGACAGCTTGATAAGGTGTAAGCTGTCTGTGGCCCTATCTACTCCAACAAGAAGAAAGCCATTGATGGTGCCTTCTATATGCATGTCAGTGATAAACCTCACTACATCCAAACCCTGGTCAACAGGCCCATATTAGCCTTCTCCACACTTCAAATGCTTCAGGCAATGAAAAACACAATAAAAGATAGGATAAGCTGCATTATATTTCCCATGTTAAGTTTTTTATTTGTTTAGCAAACCTGGAGGTGTCTGGAAAGTAACCCCATTGTTCTCAAATATTCTTTACATCATCTAATGTTATTTTAGATGAGATGCAGATTTTCAGTAAAGTAACTTGTGCTCTAATTGATGGCTTACTCCATTTCAAAAGAGGCTCTGAAACTTCATAAACATTTGAATGTGCTTGAATTTAAGTATACTGTATATAAATTAATGATAATTAGCTCTGAATACACGCCTAACAGTCTAACAATCATGAATCAATAACTTAAACACACAGAATTAAAAGGGTTTCTTTATTAATTGCTGCAAATCTCTTCAGCCTCACACTGTTATAGGGCCCAAGAAGAACAGATGTGTGAACAAGATCAAGAAGTAATTATCAATCCCAGGTTTTACTCTCTCCCTACAACACTCCTGCAACTAGCAACACACGGCACTAGATGTGCCATCAATTACCTGTTGGTGTGACTTGTGGTGGGGCCGAGGCAGCAACAACCTCTTCCCATGGGCCTTCTAAGGGCCTCTGCAGGGCTTACATTGGCTAATATCACAAGGCTTCTGGGACTGGCTCAGGCTAACTTTCTCTGTTGCACTCAGGGCTTGTATTTAATTCTCTTGGCTATTAGATTTTTTACACTAGGACTTACTTCTTTTTTTTTTTTAAATAGCTATATATACATACTGAATTTATATTACATAGATACAAGATTAGAAGAGAATATGCAATATTATAGTTAATATATACTAGTTTTGTTAACGTTAATCAATATCAAGGGAAACTGTACAATCTACATACTGTACATTTGATAATTATATCCTACACATCACTAACAAAAAATGGCACAATAATCACATATGTTGCTGGAAAATGACTTTTCAATAACTCTAATTATTCTGTTGCTTTTGCACATTGTATAAATACAAGTTTCTTTACAACAAGCTTTTTGTGCATATACATAAACACTAGGCAAAAATGGGTGTATCAAAGCTTTGCTTATTTTTTCCTACAAAAGGCTTTGAAGAAAATCAGAGAAAAGAAGTAGAGCCACCCCCATAACTAGCAAGACCCACGTTGGGATCGTCTGCGGGGAGAGCAATAAACAACCAAACGTAAGAAAACAATCCAATATGCCTCAGCATGCATCATGTCTCTAAGATGACTAAGTTATAATAATTATAAATATATAAAAATGCTTACATTTATTTTAGACAGTCTTATATACAGAAGTGCTAAAGCCCTCCACTGTAGCTGAGTAACAAGAAAAAAAAGAAAAGATAATACACTAAATTAAATCTTCGTGGAAAACTTTTAAGGCAAACTATTGTAGCAAAGTTTTCTGGTATCTGACATACTTCATCTTAATGTGGGAACAATCATTGCAACACTATTAGATCTCATCTTTACTTGATCCACAAAACTGATTTTGTATTTATATTCTGCATCTATAAGACATGACACTTGCAGGTATGTGGCAATCATGCTGAGGCAAGTGGGTAAAACAAAAGAAGTCAAGTCCCCTTATTGTTACATTCAAGATAAAGAAAAAGCCTGAAAGAGCTAAGGCTGAAAAAAACTATCAGTGCTTAATATATTTAAATTCATGCAAAAGATTCATTTAAAGAAGATATAGAAACTTATTTCTGATAATAAGACAGCAAACAATAAGAAGACTTCCTATTATACATAATATACATAGCAAAAGAACTTATTTAATAATATTCAAATTAATGAAATTGCTAAAATACAGTACAAGTAAAAATTAAAGTGCAGAATGTCAGCTCTAAGTAAAAAATATGAAATTAAATGAAAAATTAAATTATATAAAATTAAGAAATAAAGAAAAATCATGAGCTTTTACAAATTACTTAAATTAGATATAGAAAACAATATAATGAACAGGCTCAGACATAGGCTAAACAATGAAGTAAACATACCATCCCATTTTGTACAGCCAGTTGCTGAAAATCTTCATTCACTATGCTAAGTTTGTTTTGTAGTTTATCTCGCTCTTCCCTCACTAAAGCCAACTCTTCCTGAAGATTTTCCAATTTGTTGGACAACAGTGATCCATCCTGAAACATGTATAAAAGTATCAATTTAGTGAGTGAGTGAGTGTGAGGGAGTGGTGAGTGAGTGTAGGAGTGTGGTGTAGTGTGGTGTGTGTGTGTGTGTGTGTGTGTGTGTGTGTGTGTGTGTGTGTGTGTGTGTGTGTGTGTGTGTGTGGTTGTAGACTGTGAATAGTGTGAGTAATGTGTGTATAGTTTCTGTGTGTGTGTTAGTAGTGTGGTGTGTGTACACTGAATAAGAAGAAATCAATTATTCTTAGAATAACAATGACAGGAATGCTAATGAAAAAAAATGATTAAATGTTCATGTAGCATGGATGAATGACAACAATTTTCATGTAACATGGACGAATGACAGCAATGTTCATGTAGCATGAATGAATGACAAAAATGTCCATGTAGCATTGATGAATGACAACAATGTTCATGTAGCATGGATGAATGACAGCAATATTCATGTGGAAATTTTTTACATAATTTCCTAAATGTAGAGCATATAAATGAATAATATATAATTGTGTATTAAAACGTGATGCTATTTGGACCCTTAGAGAAATTTCGAGTGAGGGGGGATGCAGAACAGCCGGGGAGTGATGCGGCAGGAGATGCCATATTGAATTTAATGTGTGAACACTGGACTGAATTGTGCAATGTAATCAGGCATTCTCGAAGGTCAATTGGTGTATATTGGCCTCAATCCATAATGTAGAAAGTGCTGACACGTTCCTGCTAAAGAATTGGGATAAATAGAGTGATAAACCTTTACAATTCAGCAACAAGGACAGAAAAATTGAGGACTCCAATTCTTCCTGGCAGCACACCTTAGCTAAGTGACGCTTACCCATAATGTACAGCAGTTTAAAAAAAAAATTGTAAAAAAAAAAAAAAAATTAAAAGGTAATTTATTTAAGTAAAAAAATGTAAAAAAAAATTGAAAAATTAATTAAAAAATTTAAAGGGAAAAAAAAGGGGAAATTAAAGGGGGTTTTTAAAAAATTTTACTAAAATTTAATTTTGTAAACAGTTTTTAATAAAGGTGGGGAATTTTTAAAAACAAGGGAAGAAAAACCATATTTTGGGGAAAAGGGGAAAATTGGGGGCTGAAAAATTTATTAATTTTTGCAAAAAGTTTTTTTGTTTTTTATTGGCTCTTTTAAAAAAGGGGGAAAATTTTCCCCGGAAAATTTTCCAATTTTTGGGCAAATTTTTATTAAAAATTTAAAAATTGTTTAAAGGAAAAAAATGAAGGTTTTGGGGGGGGTGGGAAAAAATTTTGGGTTTTGGGTTTGTTTTTTGTGTTGGTTTTGTAGTTGTTGGGTTGTGGGTGGTTGAGTGTGTGGGGAAAAAAATTGAAAAAATTTAAAAAAGTAAGGGTTTCCCAAAGTTTTTAAAAAAAAATTGAAACCAAATTAAAAAAGGGAAGGTAAAGTTTTTGAATTTGGGAGTTATTCGCGGAGGGTTTAATGAAAATAAATTAATTTAAATTGAGGGAGGGAAAAAAAAAATTTTCAGGGGAAAAAAAGGGGAGAAAAAAGTTTTCTTTTGGGGGGAAAAGGGGGGAATGTAAAAAAAGTAATAAAAAATTTAATTGGGGGGGGAAATGACACGGGGGAAGGGTAGGCATGGAAAATGGAAGGGGCAATTTTGGGGAAAATTTTTATTAATTTAAAAAGGTTGAGAAAATTTTAAAATATATCCAGGAAAACTTTTGAGGTTTTGGGCCCTTAGAGAAATTAAAAAAGTAGGGGGAATGAAAAAAAACCGGGGGAAAGGAAAGGGGGGAGGGAAGCCTAAAAGGGGTTTTGGGGAAGGGGGGGGGAAAAGGAATTTTGGGGGCAAGGGGTTGGCCCCCCGAAGGTCTAGGTGAAAATTGGTAAACCTTTAATTAAAAAACCTACAGGGGTTATGAAAAAGAGGGGAAAAATTTTGGGAGGGATTAAAACCTTTTACCAATTGGGGAATTTAGGAAAGAAAAAATGGGACTTTGGGGGTTTTGGGGAAGGGCCCTTGGGGGGTAAGTGATTTTAAATTTTTAATGTTCCAAATTTTGTTTGGGCCATCGAAAACCTGATTAAGGGGGGGTTTTAAAAGGGTTGTTTAAAAATATTTTTTTTTGGAATTTTTTTTTTTTTTTTGGGTTTTCCCCCCGCTGGTGGGAACCCCCAAAGGGTTTTTATAATTAAAAAATTTAAATTTTTTTTTTTCCCCCCTCTCTTAGGAGGAGGGTGGCCCAAAAAAAAAAAAATTTGGGTCTTTTTCATTTCCATTTAAAAAATTTACATTTTTTCTGGGGTGCTAAAATTTACAAAGCTTAGAAGCATATACGTTTTAAAGATACAAAAATATCCCCCCAAAACTGCCAATATCCCAAACCCCCTTTAAAGTGCAGGCTTTGGGTCCCTTCCCATTTCCAGGACCCCAGTCCGACTATATAAAAAAAAACCGGTTTTCCCTGAACCCCTTCACAAAATTTTTTCCCCGCCCACACTCCAACAGATGCAGGCCCCAAAAGTACTTTTTTCCCCCTTTCACCCTTCAAACACGCCATGCACGTTTGGGTTGGAAGTCCAAGCCCCCGCCCACAAAACCCCCCTTTACCCCCTTTTTTCCAAAACCCTTTCAGGCGCCCCCTACCCCTTTTTTCCTTCCCAAAAGGGTTTTATATGCTTTCAGCCCATTCTTTTTGACCCCTCTCTCTAAAGGGCCAAACCCCCTCAAAAAACCCCCTTCTTTGCCCTCTGACAAATTTGCTTTTATTAACTCCACACCTTTCCTAATTTCCACACTCCGAATTTTCTGCATAATTTTTACACCAAAATTGCCCTTAAAACGGGACTTCCCCCACGGCCCCCCAAACCCGTCTCCTCGTGCTGCATTTACCCCAAGTTTTCACATCCATATAAGATGTTGGTTTTTCTAACTTTCATACTTTCCCTTCTTTTTTCCCATAGAAAACTTTTTTGACCCCCACTTATACCTCAACCCCACTACCTTTTTTTCCCTAAAAAAATTCAAATTTTAAAACCTCATTTTCAAAAATTCCATCCGCCGACACGTAACCCCCAAGAAACTAAAAAACCATTCACTTCTTCCATACCCCCTTCCCCAATTTGATACCAAAATTTTTTTATCTAAATCATTTGTCCCCTCATCACCTTATCTTTTTTATTTTCCCAATTTAAATTTTTAAACCTTTACACACATTCTAAAAAACTCACCCCAAAATTTTGCAATTTTTTTTTAGAATCTCCCATAAGCACTTCATCAGCAAAAAAAAACTGTGCCCAATTTCCCCATTTTGTTTTTGATTCCCTTTTTTAATCCCACCCCCTCCCAACCCCCTTGCATTTACTTCGTTTAAAAACCCCATCTAAAAAATATTTAAAAAAAACCAGGTGAAAACCCACTTTCCCTTCTAAGCCCTATTTTTAAACCGGAAAAGATTCTCCCTCTCTTTCCACCCCAAACCTGGGCCCATTTATCCCAAAAACCCTTTTTCCCTTTTTTAGAAAATTTACCCCCTATTCCATATACTTGAACATCTGCCATTGCTCCTCAAACCCCCTTTTATCATAGCCTTTTCTAATCCATAATGCAAAAAAAATTTCCCACCTTTATCTAAATTTTTGTTCACATATATGTTTAAATGTAAAAACTTTGAGCTACAACCCCCTCCCCACCTAAAGGGCCTCCTTGCTCTCCGAAATTTACTTCTGTCTTGCCCAAATTTTTTCAATTAAAACCCCTACCTTTTGCTTTCCGGGAATTTCCAGTAAACTTATTCCTCTAAAATTTTTTACAATTCTTTTGTCCCCTTTCCCTTTATATAAGGGACTTTTAATTTTGCTCTCCGCCAATCCCGGGTCCCTTTCCCCCCTCTTTCTTAAAATTTATTAAAAAAAAAGTACCAACCACCCCAACACTATATCCCCCCGGTTTTAACTTTTCGTCATGATCCCATCATTCCAGCTGTTTTACCCCCTTTTTATTCTACGTAATGCCTCACGTCCCTCCACCACATTTACATTCTCCCTTTTCCCCTTCACTCCTAAAAGAGGGTATACCCCCCTGGCCAGTGCATGAAATTACCCCCTCCCTTTCTTCCTTAAAAATTTTAAAATTTTCCTAAAAAATATTCTCGCCTTTAAACCTAATTCTCCCTTCCTCATCTACTAACTCCCCTACTTTTTTTAAACGGGACAAATCCATATTTTCCCCTGGCTTTTTTTAAACTTGTTTAACTCACCCCAAAAATTTTTTTTCTTTTTTTTCTTTAAAATTTTTCTTGCCCGTGCCTCTCCCACCTTTATCGGGCTCCCCTTTTTGGGCACTCTTTCACCACTTTCACCTTTTTTTTAACCCCTCCTTTTCTCGGGCTCTTCTTATAAACTTCGGGTTTTGGAAAAAACCTCCCCGTAAGCAAACCTTTTTTTCTCTTTTTTTCACCCCCTTTACTTCATCATTCCCCCAAAATTACCCTTTTCCTCCTGCCCCCCCCCTCCTTTAAAACCCCAAACTTCTGCCCCCCTTTTTTAAAACTGCAATTTTTTAAAAAATTTTTCCAACCCCTCCAACCCCCCCACTACTCATCTTTGCACTAGCCCCCCCTTTCTGCCAATAGTCGCTTATATCTCCCCGAACTTCCCCCTCCCCTTTGTTTTTTAAAAACTTTTACCCCCCCTTTCTTTTTGTTTTCCCCCCTTTCCCTTTTTCCCAAACAAACCCCTTACTTTTCTAACTGTAGCTTCAACTTAAAAAATGATCCCCATAATCAGTTTTTCCCCCCTATAAACTTGGGACACCCGGAGCCTTTCCCCTCAACCTTTTATCCCCCAATTTCAAATTTTTAACAAACTACTTTTTTTACGTGCTACATCATACCCTTTTATAAATTTTTTTATCCCTTTTTATAAAATATGTATTACTTTTAAAAAAATTTCTTTCTACACATTGCTCAAATTTAAAAGGGCCCCCCCTTTACATTAAAACCCCCGGGACCCCAAAATTTTCCTACTACCCCTCCATAAAATTTTTTTCCCACTTTGCATTGAAATTTCCCCCCCCCTTTTCTCCACACTTGGGTTCAAAACTCCCCCCGCATTTACCTCAAAGTTTCCCCGAATCTCTCTCTCTCCTTTTACACTTCCCTTCTCCAAGGGGTAAACACGTTACATAACCCCCAAATTTTCCCATCCAAACTTTTTTTACCCACATAATCCGGGAATTTTAAAACATTTGTTTCCCTCTTTTTGCCATAGCTTATCCTTCAAAATTATTTGTTTTCCCTTTTTTAAACTCAAAATCATTTGAAAACCCCCGACCCAATCCCTTTTAAACCTCTCCCTTGAAAAATCTCCCGCCCCCTTCAAACTTTTTTTCACTTAAAGCCCAAACATCCGTTTTCTTTATTCATTCCCCTAACCTTCCCCAAAATAAAAAAAATAATTTTAAAAAAAATTTTTTTATCCTATAATCTCTTAAAAAACCCAAAACCCCAAAACCCCCATTTTTTTGTTGGGTTTTTAAGTGAGAAAATTTTGTGAAAAAAAGGAAATTTAAGTCTTTTTGGCGTTTTTAAATATGCCCCCCAGATTTTTTAAGTAAGCTGCTTGCTGGGAAAAACCCTTCCCCCACATTTGGGGTAATCCCAAAAAAAAACTTTACCATTTTTTTTATTAAAAACACTTTTACTGATTTTTCTTTGGTTTTATTTTTAATTTTAGTTTTTTTGGTTTTTTATTTAAAAAATTTTTTTTTTTTCCTTAAAATTTTTGGGGCCAAAAAAAAACCGAAATTTCAACTCCGGGAAAATGCGTTTTAAAAGTTTTAAAAAAACCCAAATCATCCGCGCCCCTAACTAATCCCCCCTAAATTTTTACTGCCCCTAATAATCCAAACACTAAGGTGGGGTTTTATCTAAAATTTTTTTTGGGAAAAAAACCCTAAAACAAAAAAGAAGAGGGGGTAAATGCCCCGCAAGGAAAGAAGTGGCCATAAGCCCCGGGCCCCCGGAAACCCTTTTGGAAATTTTGGCACCCCCAAAGTGGAAAATTGGAAAAGCAAATTCGCCCCCTTTTTTTGTTAAACGGTTAAAGGTTTTGGTTTCCTTTTTTAATGAAAAAAAATGGAAAAGGGGGGGGTTAGATTTTTTTATTAAAGGAATTAAAAAAGGGTTAGGCCCCGGGGTTTAAAAATTTAATTAGAGCTAAAATTTTTGCATTTTAAAGGGAAAAAAATTGTACTTTTCCCGGGAAAAAATAATTTTTTTTTTTTAAATTTGGGCAACCCTGAGAACAAGTCTGGGAGAGGGCCTGGGGACCCTGAAAGGGTTAAGTAATTAACGGTAATTAAGTGGTAATACGAATTTCCTTCTAAATAACACTTCTAATTTATGTCCAATAATTATATTCTGTGTACCCAGCAAGCCTAATCATATAGAGTAAACAGTATTTTACAATTTACCATTATCGGTACTAATGTTTAATATTGTAATTATTAATTTAATGTCAGGTCTAGCTTTTTGTGCAAGTGGTGATAAAGTGGGCATCAAGGGAGTTACAGTCCTGCGACCTACTGTGACTTAAATCCCACTTATCTCACCCAAATTACTTGCCTGTAATAATTCAGGTAATACCCTGTAAACCTTACGCAGGTAATTTACTCACATAACATTAATAATAATTCATAGTTCATTTAGCAAGCGTGCATGAGCGTGTTAGATAGGAGTGAATGGAGACGAATGATACTTGGGACCTGACGATCTGTTGGAGTGTGAGCAGGGTAATATTTAGTGAAGGGATTCAGGGAAACCGGTTATTTTCATATAGTCGGACTTGAGTCCTGGAAATGGGAAGTACAATGCCTGCACTTTAAAGGAGTTGTTTGGGATATTGGCAGTTTGGAGGGATATGTTGTGTATCTCTATACGTATATGCTTCTAAACTGTTATATTCTGAGCACCTCTGCAAAAGCAGTGATAATGTGTGAGTGTGGTGAAAGTGTTGAATGATGATGAAAGTATTTTCTTTTTGGGGATTTTCTTTCTTTTTTTTTTGGGTCACCCTGCCTCGGTGGGAGACGACCGACTTGTTGAAAAAAAAAAAAAAAAAAAAGTTCATTTAGCATGGAAGAATGACAACAATGGAAATAGAGAGGCAAAAACCAAATGACAAAGCAAAAGGAAGGGAGATAAGCAGGAACATTAACCACCTTTCACTGTCCAGACCCCTGATCTGAAACTCATCCACATTTTCCAAGGATTTAAAAAAAAAAAAATTATTTTTCCTTATGAAATAGTAGAGAATCTTTTTCTGAAGGTAATAAAAGAACAAATTAAATTTTAAGGAAAACTGACAAAACTATGCTTTCGTGAATTTTGCAGCGTCAGCGATACCGAGGCATCAGCGATTTTTGCCCACTTTGAGTCCTATTTTTGGCCAATTACATTGTTCCAGCCAACCAAATTCTTAGCTATTTTGCTAGTATGTCATCCATTTTATTGACTGACCACAAGAAATTGCCCAATCAACTATTTCAATTACCCAATAAAGTGATCAGCAATAGGTAATTTGGCCAACTTCACACAAATTTCAGAATATTGCAGTTTCAAAACAGGGTCCAGAATAAACAATGTAGGCACTCCTGGTACTAAAATAACATTTTCTCTGTTCATTAGTTACATTCCCAGGCTTTATGTATGAATTCTATTTTGATTTTTCTATTCATATAAAAAATAGAAGATTTACTGTTATGCAATATTGTATCGATTGTATAAATAATATCAGTGCATTTCTGAACGTACATTAGACCCAACAGTTAGATGTGGATAGGACGAGTGACGTGATTTGTTTACTCTTGAATATCAGCAAACATCAAACATTTCTGCTACTTTGAGCTCAATTTCAATTTATTTTCAGCCCTGAAACCAATCAAAATCATCTCAATTTCTGTAATATATTTTCCATTCTATCAAATGAGACCAAGAAACCAAGTATACAGCTGTAAAAAACACAAAAATAAACCACAAACTTGTTGTTTTAAACCAAAAACATGGTTGCTGTTGTTTTCTTATTGTGCACTGCATGCCGCAGGATTTTTTTTCACATGGAGCATACTTACCCATTCTCTCATATCTAGATCCAAATTTACCACTCACAGCTTATCCTAGTAAACTGAAATCATGGCATAGTACTATGGCAAGGGCAGAGAAGTGGTTAAAAGGTACTGTACTCTAAATGCTTGTGATGGAAGAACACAAGCTCATAAATAAAGAATACCTAAACAATGGTTCTTTAAACAAACCACTGATGAATTAAATTCTTCATTAATTAATAGATGGCAGTAAGAACACAGACAAGAGTTAATGAGGAGAAAAATATTTAATAGAATATTTACCTTTAAAACAGGAGTTATTAATCCATCCATCATATCTTGATGAGTATCATTCAAACTGCCATTTGTTTTTCTCTTTTCAGTATCTAGTGTATACTGAAGGATGCGTTCTCTCTCTTGCAAAGATGCACATTCTTTCTGAGTTTGTGACAGCTCTTCTTTTAATTTTTTCAGAGTATTTTTAAGCTCACTAAGTTCCACTTCTTTGGTTACAAATGAATGACTGATTTCTGGTATATCTGTGACATTAGTCTGACTTCCAGAGTTGTCTGGTATACTGCAAATTTGTGTTTTTGAGGTAGATGTAGAATTTTCATCTATAATTGTACTGGCAGTTCTCTCCTCAGCAGATCCTCCACATACTGCTACAGTGGTATCACATTCACCAAGCGTCTCCTTGTTTGAAACTTCATTACTACCACTGGGGATACAAGGTGGAGGAGGAAGAATAAGAGGTGTTGTTGGAGAGGCCTGGTTGAATTGTAACCGCTCCTCAAGCCCAACTATCCGTCTCTTTAGAGATTCAGCTTCCTGTACACTAAGGCTTGCTAATTCTTCAGCCTCACTTAGTTTCTCTGCAAATTACAAAAATATTCATATTTCATATAATCTAAGAATAAGGATAACCATACATGCTTAAATACAAAAAAAAAAAAAAATTACCAATTACTAAAAAAAAATTCAACTGCAATTCCCTATTTTGTCATTTTTGCTCCTAATAAACATGGCTCTCTATATGTATTACAGTGGACCCTCGGTTTTTGTTTAATCCACTCCTGAGCCATTGGCCAAAACTGAAATTGGCCAAAACCGAAACCATTTTCCCCATAAGAAATAATGTAAATGGAATTAATCCGTTCCAGACACCCAGAAGTATCAACAAATTTTTTTTTTTTTTACCTTAAAGATAGTTACATGCTGGAAGGAAGACAGGGAGGAGGGGAGAGGGAAGATAGGTTATTGTGTGGAAGGGGAATCCCCCTCCATGAGGACTCTAGGTACCAAGTCCTTATCTAGGGTCACTTCCCTCCTTTGTTTTTTACTGCCACTAGGACCAGCTTGAGTCACTGAATCCCTGTCGCACAAAATATCTGTCCAGATAGGTCTGTTTCTGGCATCTCTAAGATTTGCCTAAGGGACATGGCATTATTTTTTATTTTATTATTTTTTTTTATTATCACACCGGCCGATTCCCACAAAGGCAGGGTGGCCCGAAAAAGAAAAACTTTCACCATCATTCACTCCATCACTGTCTTGCCAGAAGGGTGCTTTACACTACAGTTTTTAAACTGCAACATTAACACCCCTCCTTCAGAGTGCAGGCACTGTACTTCCCATCTCCAAGACTCAAGTCCGGCCTGCCGGTTTCCCTGAATCCCTTCATAAATGTTACTTTGCTCACACTCCAACAGCACGTCAAGTATTAAAAACCATTTGTCTCCATTCACTCCTATCAAACACGCTCACGCATGCCTGCTGGAAGTCCAAGCCCCTCGCACACAAAACCTCCTTACACCCCTCCCTCCTACCCTTCCTAGGCCGACCCCTACCCCGCCTTCCTTCCACTACAGACTGATACACTCTTGAAGTCATTCTGTTTCGCTCCATTCTCTCTACATGTCGAACCACCTCAACAACCCTTCCTCAGCCCTCTGGACAACAGTTTTTGGTAATCCCGCACCTCTCCTAACTTCCAAACTACGAATTCTCTGCATTATATTCACACCACACATTGCCCTCAGACATGACATCTCCACTGCCTCCAGCCTTCTCCTCGCTGCAACATTCATCACCCACGCTTCACACCCATATAAGAGCGTTGGTAAAACTATATCTCATACATTCCCCTCTTTGCCTCCAAGGACCAAAGTTTCTTTGTCTCCACAGACTCCTAAGTGCACCACTCACTCTTTTTCGCCTCATCAATTCTATGATTCACCTCATCTTTCATAGACCCATTCGCTGACACGTCCACTCCCAAATATCTGAATACGTTCACCTCCTCCATACTCTCTCCCTCCAATCTGATATTCAATCTTTCATCACCTAATCTTTTTGTTATCCTCATAACCTTACTCTTTCCTGTATTCACCTTTAATTTTCTTCTTTTGCACACCAGCATGGATTGCAACAGCTTTCTCATGGTGATGTTCCTCCACAAATGAATGCACTTTAGTCCACATTGCACAAATCTCCTTAATCTTTGAAGAAGGCATCTTCTTCCATCTCTCTTCCTCCTCCTCGGAAGCAATTTTCTCAGCTGTGGTCTGTTGCTGTTGCAGATGAAGGTATTGCAGCTCATCAGTGGTTAGCCCTTCATTGTGGTCCTCCACCAACTCTTCCACATCCTGGCCACTCGCATCCAACCCCATGGAATTTCCCAATGCCACAATTGATTGCACAACAGGTGTAGGATCAACAGGGTCAACCTCAAACCCTTCAAATCCTTCTTTTGGACACAATCCGGCCACAATTTTCTCCAAGCAGAGTTCAGCGTTCTCTCAGTCACTTCCTGCCTATGCAGTGGAAGATATTGAAGTGATTCTTCCAAAACTCTCTTAGGGTCAATTCAGAGTCCGAGGTTATGTCCAAGCACCTTTGAGACATTGCCTTGGTGTACAGTTTTTTGAAGTTTACAATGATCTGCTGGTCCATGGGCTGGAGGAGAGGAGTGGTGTTAGGAGGCAAAAACTTCACTGTCACAAAAATGAATTCCTTAGACAATTGGTCTTCCAAGTCTGGAGGATGAGCAGGAGCATTGTCCATTAACAGGAGGCACTGGAGTGGCACTTTATTATCCAGGAGGTATTTTTTCACACTGGGGCCAAACACTTCATTAAACCATTCCAGGAAAATTTCCCTTGTGACCCATGCCCTACTGTTTGCCTTCCACATCACACACAATTTACTCTTGACAACACTATTCTTTCTTGAACACACTAATTTTCAGAGTGATACACCAGTAAAGGCTTCACTTTCAAATCCCCGCTAGCATTACCACACAACAAGAAAGTTAGCCTGTTTTTCATAGATTTGTGTCCTGGGAGTGCCTTTTCCTCCTGCATAATATAGGTCCTCTTTGGCATTTTCTTCCAAAACAGGCCTGTTTCATTACAACTGAACACTTGCTGGGGGTTAGAATTTTTTAGCCTCTACATAATATTTTCAGCCACTTGTCTGTCTGAACTGGCACCCTTGCCGTGCCTTACAATACTGTGTATGCCACTTCGCTTCTTGAATTTTTCAAACCAGCCTTTGCTAGCCTTAAATTCACCTACATCAGCACTTGTTTCAGGCAGTTTCTTTAAGAGGTCGTCATGTAACTGTCTTGCCTTTTCACAAATAATTGACTGCACAACACTATCTCCTGCTAACTCTTTCTCTCTGATCCACACCAACAACAATTTCTCCACTTCTTCAGTTGTTTGGGAATCTCTGTCTGCCTATCGCATTCACTCCTTTTGCAACATCAGTTTCCATGATTTCTTTTCTTTCTGCCACAATGGAGCTGATTGTTGATGGCGACTTCCCATACATCCTGCCGAGTTTAGCAATGTGTATGCCTTTATCATATTTTCTTAGGATTTCTTTTTTCATTTCTATGGTGTTCTTCACTTTCTTTACCAAAGGACTGGCACTAGGAGCTTTCTTTGTGGCCATGGTAGCTTATTTAGCCATCAGACAGAATAAACAAGTGACAAAAAATGGATTATTATGAAATGTTTTGTATGACCAGGCAGGATATGTTCACTAACCGAGAAACAACGCTACACTGGCTGAGAATGGTGGGGGAGGCAGCTTTGTCTGCATGCTCGGCACTAGACAGGTTCTGTACAGATCAATGAAAACGGAGGTAATCGACAAAAATGGAGACAAAAAATCAGCAAAAAGAGTTGGCCAAAACCGAAATCGGCAATAATGGAGATCGACGAAAATGGAGGGTCCACTGTACTGGTCTTATCAAGAAATTTCATGAAAGCTTTAAGAAAATAGTGTAATGCTTCACAAGCAAACAAGAAAAACATGGCTTGCCTCTAAGTAACCGAGTTTCTTCCTGGGCAGCCTGAACCTTCTGCTGCTCATCCCTTAGTCTGACTGTGAGGTTTGACAGCTGTGTCTGCACCTCTTTAGATGAATCTTCAAGACGGCTTACTTGACTCTGTAGTGATCCCACCGTCTTCACCTTTTCAGTCATTAAGGCTTCACTAGCCTGTAAAATGGGGGAAAAAACAGACTTAGACAAGAATAAAACTTTTATTTCCACAGGAGACACAACATAGTTTTACAAGATTAGTTGACATCTGATAATATCCATGGAATGCCCTGCGTATGATAGGACAGCATACCCACTGCTCTTCCAACACTGACTCTCAGAAGAATTCTTATTGAACTCTTAATTTTCCTCATTTCCCTTATTTTTCTTTTTTTTTTTTTTACCAATCACATTTACTTCATTAATACCTTGACTTATGATGGTTTGACTTACGATATTTTGACTTTACGATGGTGCAAAAGCAATTACTTTTGAGATGAAACTTGAGATAATTACCCAGCATGAAGGCGGCAAATCTGTAACTTGTATTCATTTATTTACTTTTCAATACTGGTATTTAGATAGAGCAAATATTTGTTTATTTACTTATTCAATGGTAGTAGTTACTTATTTCCTTATTTATTTAGCAGATCACATTCATATTCGACTTACGATAGGTTTGTCATAGTGTAATCTCATTGAAAGTCGAGGCGCACCTGTATAACATACAAATTTTTTACAATGGTCTTCATGGTACAACAAATTATTGGCACATAAACAGGACATTAGTAAATTTAGGTTATGATAACCCAATGAAGTTAAACACTGACTTATTACACTTGTTTATGAGTGTCTAAACCTGACTGCATCCCAGTAGACCTAGTAAGGCAACATGAACCTTTTTGACATGTTTCTAGACCAAAAAGTAATAACATCTACAAAGGTAACAAAAACTTGTTACTTTTCATGAGTTAATAATTAAAAATAATAACTTGCTTGTTTTTTGGAGGTGTCAAGATTACAACAATTTTTCTCACATGTGCTTCACTCTACATATCACAGTGTTGATTTCAGGAATGTAATCCAAGTAAAGTACTATTGTACAGTGAATGTAGTTCACTGTACAATACTTTGAGGTGTTCCCAGTAGTTTAAATTATTTATTAGCCACCATGAAGGCAGTAAACAATCTCTGCACCTTTTCCAGCTCTGATCTTTCTTCTCACCTGAATAGAATTGTCAACATTGAACAGTATTCTAGATGAGAGAACACAAGTGATTTTGATATCGTAGTATCACCACTGACATCATTTCTCATTTTAAAAAGTCTTATTATCCACCATGTCATTTTTCTGACCTTTGTGGCATCTGCCTTATTGTGTTCTCTAAAGATAGGTCACCTGTCATTATGTTAAAATCTTATACATAGTATTCCCTTCATAATATGAGATGGTCTTCCTGTGCTACATATGAACAAATGTTCACAGGTCATAATGTTATGAAAGACTGAAAAATTTATACAAATAACCCGCACATAGAAGAGAGGAGCTAATGACAACGTTTTGGTCCTACTTGGACCATTTACAAAGTCACACTAACGAAAAGGAGAGCAGAATGGGTATACATAGGCAGGTGGTGGTAGTAGTGGAGGTGGAAGGAAGTAGTAGTGAGGAGGTGGTAAGAGTAGGAGGGGCCAGTCAAATACTAAGAAAGAGAAGCACTGCAAGGGGACTAGGGGCCCACAGAGGGTAAGAGCAAGAACACTGAGGAGGGAAAACAAGTAAATAAATAAAAGGAACAAATACACAGGGCAGAAGAAAGACAACCCAAAGGAGAAAAAGGAAAGAGGAAAAGGGGAAGAGGGAGAAGAAGAAGAAAAAGGAGGAATCAGGTTAGGTCACGAGTGTTCTGAAGTTTGGAGCATTTTACAATGTAGTGGGAGAGGAAGGCATCTACAGAGATGAAGCCAGGACTAAGATTCATACAAGGAAGATTGTGTTATACAAATAACCCGCACATAAAAGAGAGGAGCTTACGACGACATTTCGGTCTGACTTGGACCATTGACAAAGTCCCAGTGTGACTCTGTCAATGGTCCAAGTCGGACCGAAACGTCGTCGTAAGCTTCTCTCTTTTATGTGCGGGTTATTTGTGTATCGTTCCAGTCACGGTATTGTGCCTTTTTGTTATTTAGGAAGATTGTGTATTAGGGAGGATTCAACCAGATGGCGACTGTTAAAGTTGGAAGTAGGGAAGACAGTTTTAGCAGAAGACCAGTCAATAGGATGGCTGTGATCTCTGACATGACAGAAAAAGAGCACTGTTAGTGTCTGCAAGCCTAACACTATTTTTGTGCTCCCTAAGTCCATTAGAAAAAGATCTACCAGTTTCTGACAGACTTAGGGAGCACAAAAATAGTGTTAGGCTTGCCGACACTAACAATGCTCTTTTCTGTCACGTCAGAGATCACAGCCATCCTATTGACTGGTCTTCTGCTAAAACTGTCTCCCTTACTTCCAACTTTCACAGTCGCCATCTGGTTGAATCCTCCCTAATACACAATTTTCCTTGTATGAATCTTAGTCCTGGCTTCATCTCTGTAGATGCCTTCCTCTCCCACTACATTGTAAAATGCTCCAAACTTCAGAACACTCGTGACCTAACCTGATTCCTCCTTTTTCTTCTTCTTCTCCCTCTTCCCCTTTTCCTCTTTCCTTTTTCTCCTTTGGGTTGTCTTTCTTCTGCCCTATGTATTTGTTCCTTTTATTTATTTATTTGTTTTCCCCCCCTCGGTGTTCTTGCTCTTACCCTCTGTGGGCCCCTAGCTCCCTTGCAGTGTTCCTCTTTCTTAGTATTTGACTGGCCCCTCCTACTCTTACCACCTCCACTATTACCACTTCCTTCCACCTCCACTACTACCACTACTACTACTACTACTACCACCACCACCTACCTATATATACCCATCCTGCTCTCCTTTTCGTTAGTGTGACTTCGTAAATGGTCCAAGTCGGACCGAAACGTTGTCGTAAGCTCCTCTCTTCTATGTGCAGGTTATTTGTGTATTGTTCCAGTCACAGTATTGTGCCTTTTTGTTATTTACTGAAAAATTTGTAGCAAATAAGGTTTTCCTGTTATAGTGGCACAGATCATCTGACTGTGATCCATCGAGTTTATAAAACAAGAAACACATCAAACTGTTCAAAGATTTGCTGATCAAAACAGATGATGGCTGTCATCATCATCAATCTCAAATCATCTTCACCGTAATTAGAAACCCCATAAAATAAACATCCTGCCTAGCTATCTATCTTGACTCCAATATTCTCATTGATTTGACATTTTCATTTGGCTTGCCTAAGCAATAATTTGAATTAGTGTTGACAATCGAAGTGAAAGTGACTACTTACAGCTAGCTGTTGTCGAAGGTTGGAAGCCTCATGAGATGCTGTTATGGCTGCTGTAGATGCCTGAGCCAAATCTTCACGAATTCGAGCCACTTCCTTTTCTGAAGTTTCTTGTGCTTTTCGACTTGTTTCTAAAAGCTCTAATGAAAAATTATTGTCCCATTAATACAGTTCCACTTACAACAGCTTTACTACCTAATAAATAATAGTCTACCATGGCTAAAATAAAAATTAAACAGAAATCACAGTTTACTCAGAAGGGTTGTCAAGTGGTATTTAACGTAAAAATGTCACTTTTGTCTGGAAGGTGAAGGCAAGTCTTTGCAATAAAAAAAAAGCCCTCAAAAATGTTAGGCATTCCACCATTTACAGTTGGTAAACTGCTTCTGTGCAATATTATAACAATATGGTTGTTTAATATATTTATAGATGGGGTTGTAAGAGAAGTAAATGCGAGGGTCTTGGCAAAAGGCGTGGAGTTAAGAGATAAAGAATCACACATAAAGTGGGAGTTGTCACAGTTGCTCTTTGCTGATGACACTGTGCTCATGGGAGATTCTGAAGAGAAGTTGCAGAGATTGGTGGATGAATTTGGTAGGGTGTGCAAAAGAAGAAAATTAAAAGTGAATACAGGAAAGAGTAAGGTTATGAGGATAACAAAAAGATTAGGTGATGAAAGATTGGATATCAGATTGGAGGGAGAGAGTATGGAGGAGGTGAATGTATTCAGATATTTGGGAGTGGATGTGTCAGCGGATGGGTCTATGAAAGATGAGGTGAATCATAGAATTGATGAGGGGAAAAGGGTGAGTGGTGCACTTAGGAGTTTGTGGAGACAAAGAGCTTTGTCCTTGGAGGCAAAGAGGGGAATGTATGAGAGTATAGTTTTACCAACGCTCTTATATGGGTGTGAAGCATGGGTGATGAATGTTGCAGCGAGGAGAAGGCTGGAGGCAGTGGAGATGTCATGTCTGAGGGCAATGTGTGGTGTGAATATAATGCAGAGAATTCGTAGTTTGGAAGTTAGGAGGAGGTGCGGGATTACCAAAACTGTTGTCCAGAGAGCTGAGGAAGGGTTGTTGAGGTGGTTCGGACATGTAGAGAGAATGGAGCGAAACAGAGTGTCTTCAAGAGTGTATCAGTCTGTAGTGGAAGGAAGGCAGGGTAGGGGTCGGCCTAGAAAAGGTTGGAGGGAGGGCGTAAAGGAGGTTTTGTGTGCGAGGGGCTTGGACTTCCAGCAGGCATGCGTGAGCGTGTTTGACAGGAGTGAATGGAGACAAATGGTTTTTAATACTTGACGTGCTGTTGGAATGTGAGCAAAGTAACATTATGAAGGGGTTCAGGGAAACCGGCAGGCCGGACTTGAGTCCTGGAGATGGGAAGTACAGTGCCTGCACTCTGAAGGAGGAGTGTTAATGTTGCAGTTTAAAAACTGTAGTGTAAAGCACCCTTCTGGCAAGACAGTGATGGAGTGAATGATGGTGAAAGTTTTTCTTTTTCGGGCCACCCTGCCTTGGTGGGAATCGGCCAGTGTGACAATAATAATAAAAAATGTAAATTATAACAAATATGTAAGACTCAACAAAAGTAACTTGTAAAATTGGGTTATCTGAAAGTGAAAGTGTGCAGTACAGATGATAAAGAATTGATTGTTAATATTATAAGAAGAAAATGAGTATACTAGCACTAAGTGAAACAAAGCTAAGGGAGTGGGAGTATTTCAGAGGGAAGGAGTAAATGAGTAAATGGAGTTAAACCAAGTATATCTGAAAGAACTACAGTTCAAATAGAAATAACAATAATATTAAATAATCAATTATGGAAAGACAAAGAAAGGGAAAAGGTGTAAGTGTTTAAATTCATAATTATTTAGATTAAAATAAAAGTGGGATGTGAGACGTAGCTAATAGTAGGAGTTTATGCACCCAGAGAAGAGAGGAGTGTAGAGGAGAAAGATTCTGGAAAATATTAACCCTTTCAGAGTTTCCGATGTACTAGTAAAGCTTAAGCACCAGGGTTATTGACGTACTAGAATGCCTAAATTCTAGTGCCCTCAAATCTAGTGAAAGCTGGTAGGCCTACATATGAAAGAATGGGTCTATGTGGTCAGTGTGCACAGTATAAAAAAATCCTGCAGCACACAGTGCATAATGAGGAAAAAAACTCCGACCGTGTTTTTGGTTTAAAACAGCGACTTTGCAGTGTATTTTCGTATGGTATTTATGGTTATTCTAGCATTCCTGGTCTCATTTTATAGAATGGAAGACATATTACAGAAATTGAGATCATTTTGATTGGTTTCACAATGAAAAGTATCTTGAAATTGAACTCAAAGTAGCAGAAATGTTTGATTTTTACCAATTTTTGATTTTTACCAAAGTTCAAAAGTAAACAAATCATGCCAAGGGTCCAATACACGTCAACTGGCGAGTCTAATATTCTTTCACAAGTGCGCTGATATTATTTATACCATTTCTACACCATTTATACACTAATGCAGTAGTCTGCAAAACAGTAAATCTACTATTTTTTGTGAGAATAAAAATTCAAACTGGAAAGCAAAAGAGATGTAAGAGGGGCCTTGGGACGTGATGTGACTAATGAACAGAGGAAATTTTATTTTAGGCCAGGAATGTCTGCTGTTTATTCGGGCCCCTTTTTTGGAAATTGGCATCTCGAAATTTGTGTAAATTTGGGAAAATTGCTAATTTCTGCCACTTTTTTGGAAGTTGAAATGGGTAAATGGGTGGTTTTTTGACTCTTTCGATAGACAAAAGGGATTTCTAGCGAAGTGTTTTTTTTTTTGCGACTATCCCTGGAATTGGCCAAAAAATGGGCTAAAAGGGGCGAATCGCCGATGCTTAACCCTTTGGGGTTTTGGTCGTATAGTACGCAAAATTTTCTAGCGCCGTCAAATTCGCGGGAAGAGGCTGGTAGGCCTCCAAAGAAAGAAGGGTTATGTATCATGTGCACGATAAAAAAAAATCCTGCGCAACAGTGCTAATGAGAAAAAAAAACTTTCACGTTTTTTTTTGGCAAAAAAAGCGCTTTGCACTGTATTTTTTTTTGGTTTTTATTGTTGAAATTCAGTTTTCTTGGTCTCTTTTTATAGAATGGAATGATATCACAAAAATTTGAGATATTTTTATGGTTTTACAAGAAAAGCCCTTGAAAATTGAGCTAAAAGTAGCAGAAAGTTCGATTTTTACCAAATTAAAAAGTAAAAAAAATCAGAAAGCGTCCAATACACGTCAATGGTGAGTCTAACATTTTTTTTGCAATTGGCCAATGATTTATATCATTTTTACACTAAGCAGTAGTCTGTAACATAAATCTTCATTTTTGTGAGAAAAAAAAAATTCAAGTGGAAACAAAAGAATGTAAGGGGGGCCTTGAGAGTGACTAATGAGCAGAAAAAATGTCATTTTAGTCCCAGGGTTTTTCTTGTTTGTTCGGACCTATTGGGAAAATTTGGGCATTTTTTAAAATTTGTGTAAAATTTGGAAAATTTGCTAAATTCTGCCACTGTTTGGATAGTTAAAAAAGGGTAAATGGGTGGTTTCTTGCACTCATTCAATGGAAAAAAGTGTTCTAGCGAAATATTCATGTTGTTTGTCGACTAGTACAGGGGAATTGGCCGAAATGGGCTAAAATTAGGAAAATCGCCGATGCGTAAACATCCCCGAGCCCCGCTAACTTCGTGGAGCAAAATTCCCGTAAGTTTTCCATAAAATCTCTTAATTTTGGTGCATAGATGGGGAAAAAAGATTCTCATCTTTTCATAAGAAAAAAAAATTTTTTTTTTTTTTTAAATTTCCCGCCCCGGGAAAACGATTTTCTGAGGGGCTGTCGACCTAAAAGGGTTAAACACGTCGAGACACTAACTTGTGGAGATAATTCCGTAAGTTTTCCATAAGTTTCATACTTTTGGTGTCTTTATGATCGGGGAAAGATTCTCTACTTTCAAAGAAAAAGAAATTTTTTTTTCCAAAATTTTCAACCCTGAGAACGAGTTTAGGAGGGGCCCTCTCGACCTGAAAGGGGTTAAAATCAGCTGTGTAGGTTTTAGCTCTTAGCTTGTAAAAAAAGTTGGGAAACCCCTTACTCTAACCTTCCCAAAAACCCTGTATAAAAAAAACAATGCTCGGAGTTTTTAAATGCCACGCAGGAGTTACTGTCGAGGCCCAAAGTATACGAAGTTTGGAGTATCACAAGCAAATGTTAATAGGGGGATCCTACTGAATTTGTACAGAAAAGGTTTTGGTAACAGGCAATAAAGGTGGGCCCCAATTTCAAGGTAGGTTTCCGGCAACTCCCATAAAGCAAAAATTCTGTAAAGTGAACCCTTTTTTTTTTCCCCCTTTAAAAATGCATATAAATGCTGATAACATATTTACACAATCATATATAAATGGCAATGAGCTAGGGATAAAAAACAATAAAAAAATAAAAAAGATTCAGGGGCCCCTTTGGGTTTTCAAAATTTTTCCGTTCCGAGTCTGCCGAAAAACAAAATTCATGAAAGCCAAAACCTTTTTTCCCCCTAAGAAATAATGTAAATCCAAATAATTTTTTTCATGAGTTAGGATTGCTGGGTCTTTTGTCTGTCTCATAATATGCAAGTTACAGGCATGTCTTGCTATTCCTTTTTAATTAGGCACCCTGCACAACATGTACACATTTATCATACCACCACGAGTTTTCTCTGATTTTTTTCTTAAAAGTTCTTGTTTCTTATTACTTTTCCTTTTATATCCATGGTGAAGTGGAAAATATTTTCCCCATAAGCCATGTGTGTTGTAAAAGTCAACTAAAATGCTGGGAACAATGGCTAGTAACCCCTTTTTCCCGTAATAATTACTAAAAAAGAATAAAAAGAAAATTTCAAAGTGGGAGCGAATTGGCGTGGAAGTTGGCAAATGATTAGAAAAGAATGATTGTTTGTTATGAATGGGGGAAAACTGGGATGTCCGGGTTTAATGAAAAAACGAAGGGGGTGGGGAGAGTTTCAATGGGGAGGAATAAAAAGGGATTAGGTCAAGGGGGTCAAATGTTAAGTAAAAAAGGGGGTAGTAATAATGTTTTAAGGATAAGCTATGAGGAAAAGAGGGGGCATAAATGTATTAATTCAAGGATTATA